CCTGAAAATGTAGCTTTTCAAATAGTTCTTAACAGTAAAATTGACCAGAAACAAATTGAAAAAAAGAAAAGAAAGAAATATCGGGGTTGATGAAGAAGATAATCAAGAAGTTCATGGGAAGTGTGGTATTTGAAAAGATTTAAGAATCTGAATGCCTTGATGAAAGTTATATGATAAATCAGAACTAAAGAGGAGATGAACAGCAGATATTACTGGTATTATTATTGCTATTATAATATTTGTTTACTGGATATGTGAGATGTTTGTAACAACGTTAGATACATATATGGGTATAGCTATATATAATTTCTTGTGGGGACACTGAGGAACATATTTCAAACATTTGCAGTCCTATCCTCTCTACATATGAATATATGCTCTGCATCTAATATCCTTAGCAATAAATTAACTAAGTAAATGTGAGACCTGAAGGAAGGATCTCCCTGTATCTCTTGCATGGTTAGTGTAACAGAGAGAATAGTTAAGATTTGCAAAGACCAGGGGCGTGGTATATATTTAAGAAATAATTGTTAGCTTTGCGCAGTGACTGTATCGTCGCCAATGAGATTTATCAGAGGCGCAATTATTGCCAACTTAAAAAAAAAGGAAATAATTGTTGAGTAAATAAAACAAACTCCTGCTATATTTCATCATTATACAAAAAAGAGACATGATATGAATAATATTGGAACATAAGGAGATGACATTTAAACTTTTAAGTTAACTTTCATAAAAATGTTGCAAAAGCTGTGGTTGTTTCCTTCAGGTTTTCCATGAAACCAGAATTACATCAGAAAAGAGTATTTAATTTTAATAGCTTGTATGCCATAGTTACCCCATGTCTAACATGATTAATTCAAAATACACAGATTATCAGATTTCTTATCACTTCTTTTGTCCCTGAACTCACATTGAAGTTCCATTTACTCTCCAGAATTGTATCTCTTATGATTCATATGAGTATATTACTTTGTCATTAATAAATGTAGGTAAGTTAACCATTTATTTCCTCTGGTAATAAAGTTCTATGTGATTTTTATTTGCAATGAATAATCACTACAAAAATCATTACCATAGTTGGGCTCAAACATTACCATTGTTCTACTCAACAACTTAAATGTGTTACAAATTTTTATAAAATATTGAAAGAGAAACTGTAAAATTATCAATGGAAATGCATCTTTTAATTATATTAATTGGGGTGGAATTTTACTTTTTATTTCAATTATTAAAATTATTTGTGAATAAATATGTTTATTTCTAGAAGAGCACAGATTTCATCATTCTTTATTTTTTCAAGTTTATTTTAGATTCAGGGAGTATGTGTGCAGATTTGTTACAAAGGCATATTCGTTGATGTGCTGTTTGAACTATGATTGAATGTATCACTCAGGGAGTGAGCATAGTACCCAATAGGTAGGTTTTCAACACCTCTCCCTCTCTCTTTTCCCTCTCCCCTCTTATATTCCCCAGTGTCTATTGTTTCCTTCTTTATGTCCATGGATGGGTACCTGATGTTTAGCTTCCACTTATGAGTGAGAACATGAAATATTTAGTTTTCTTTTCTGTAATAATTTACTTAGGATGATGGCTTCTAGCTGCATCGATGTTGATGCAAAGGACATGAGAGACAGAGAGAGAGAGATTGAGAGAGAGAGAGATCATACAAGGGGAGAAGGAAAAAAGTAAAAGAGAAAATATTGAAAGGAAGAGCCATTACACATCAAGAGGGGCTTTTCAACATCAGCATTATTAACTTTTTTTTTTTTTTTTTTTTTTTTTTTACTGAAAAATGGTTAATGTTTGGCACTATCCTGTGAATTGTAGGATGCTCATCTGTCCCTGGCCTCTATGCATTAGATGTCAGGAGTACCTCCTTCCAGTTGTGACAATCAAAATATCTCCACCTTTGCCAAATGACCCTTAGTGGTGGTGGAGACACAGATTCATCTCTACTTTAGAACAACAGATTTTAAAAAAGAAAGCATTGCAACAGATTTCCTAGCAGTAACTACAAAAGTTAGTATAGAAAGAAAAGATGAGAAATTGAAAATGTTGATGGGGAAACAACAAAACTGTCAACCTAGAATCATGTACACAATGGAAATCTCTTTCTAAAATTAATAAAAAATTTTAATCTAACAAAAACTGAGATAATTCATTGATAGCAGGTAGGTGCTACCAGGAAGGTTAAAGTAAGGTATCCAAGAAGAAGCAAAATCATATCAGATAGAAACTCAAAGCTACGTAAAGAAATACAGAGCATAAGAAATTATGTTAATGATCTATATTTAAAAGTTATTTTAAATTGCTCTAAAATATATGAGTCTTAGGAAAAGATACCAATGAATAGTATTTATAGAGTCTGTAAAAGTAAAGTGTACAACAGTAGCATCATGGATAAGAAAGACTTAGATGTTTACCCTTTTAGGTCTATAAAAAATCAATAATAAGCTACTTGGGAGGCTGAGGCAGGAGAATTGCTTGAATCTGGGAGGCAGAGGTTGCAGTGAGCCGAGGTCGCACCACTGCACTCCAGCCTGGTGCCTGGTGATGGAGTAAGAACTGTCTCAAAAAAAAAAAAAAAATCAATAATTTACTAATAAATATAATGTAAACTGCTAGAAAACTATCACAATTTTTAAGACTTAAGAAGTCAATAGAGCATATAAAATAAATGGAATCATGAAAACAATCCAACTCAAAAAAAAATGTGAATGAAAGAAATGAGAAATACTTAAAGCAAGTAAAGATGAAATATCAAGATGGTAAACTTAATTCAGCAGAATCAGTAGTAACATTAACTCCACCCATATGTTCATTAACCAGAAGTACTCTAGACACAAAATTAGAAGATGTAGTGTGCCAGATTCAATAGAAAAGCAAACAAAACTCTGTGCTATCTAAAAATATCTTTTCTGTTATAAAGACATAAGTTAAATATAAAAGGCTCACAAAATTTTATGCAGTAAAAATTGAAAGAGCTCTAGGGAGGCTATATGAACATAAAACAAAATAGACTTTAAAAGAAAAACTATCACTCACTGATACCACCTTAATTTTTCTGTAGGGATCCAAACTCTCCTTTTCTTTGTCTGTCTCTTCCTTTGCATGCAATGTATTTTGGGAAGCATTCATGGACAGTCATCAAGACACCTGCTGATTTTTTTCTGAATAGGTACCAGTAAGCCAGTGACTCAGCTGTGGGATTTTGTTAGAATTATTGGGAAAAAAGAGCTTCTTCTTTATAAGGCTAATCCTCTGGGCAGGTAGAAACTGCATAAAACAGCTCGTAGCTCTCTTTGGTGAAAAGAGAGAATCTGCTTGAGAGTTTAGTCATCCAAAAGAAAAGGATAGCAGAGAGCTGGAGAATGGCAAAATTTTTAACACCTGTATCCTCTCTCAGCTAATCTATGTCCAGATTTTTAAGTTATGTAAACAATAAATTCCCACTTCTGCTAAGCCACTTAAAAATGTTATTCTGCCACACCCAACCAAAGATGACAAATACACCTACTTATAAATATTCTTTTAATAAACATTCTCTTTATTAATTGCATAAAGTTCTAGTTTCTTGAAGTGGATTTCAAGAAATTTTAGCCATATATATGTGTATGTATGTATAGATAGATACATAACCACACACACATATGTGGGTGTGTGTGTATATAAAGATAAAGCTATAAATATATACATACAGTTTTAAATTAACACACATATATATCTATACACACACAGTTTTAAATTAACTTGTTTTATATGTCTTTCAGCTGGACTTCTCTTTCTCCGTCAGACAACACATTCTCAGCCTCATTTTCAAGTCTCCAAACATGCCATAGATTTTTACATTGCCATGGAATTGTTTATGTGGTTTTCTTTACTGCATCTTTTCTTTTATTTGGTACTTGTCAAAATATCTAATGCTCATTTCAAGTTATTGTTCTCTTCCCCTTTTTGTACCTGGTACATAGAACAGTACCTGGAAGAAAATACTCACAGAGTGAAGGCATTTTTTCAGTGAAGACCTTTTGAAGTTTTCTGACCTTGTGTTACCAGCATTTTATTTGAATGCAGATGTAAATCTATCATAGTACATATCAGACTTATTAAACTCATTTATAATTCTCTTTCTCAATCACTAGATATATTTTTGCTTATTTTCAATTTATTGTACCATCAATATGCATGGAATATTATAGTAGTTGTTTGATTAGTTGCTTTTAGCTGGTTAAATCAAATTAGATAATAAATATAATCAAATTTTTCATATAGTAACCTACCATTTCAAAAGCCAAAATATGTTTCTTTGAGGCATTCTCATGATGTAGAAAAACATCTTACATCATTTCATTTTGTGTTTAATCAATTCCCGAGTGGAACTGTTTAATTGCTCATATATCTTTTCCCACTAGAGATTTGAATATCAGAGTTTGAATTCTTGGGATCTGAGGTGAGATCAAAAAGCGGATCTCAAAAACCTCAAAGCAAAATATAAAAAGCCTGTTTCTCCTAAGGAACCACAACCTTCTTAAGAAAGGCATAAACTTCTTCTATGAACACAGAATGCTTGCCCCAAATGATTATACCAAATGTCACAATGCCACAGAGGCCATTTATTAAGAGTTTGCCATGACAAGATGGTTTGCACTATCTCTGGACATTAGAGGTAGATGAAAGAATTGAAGAAATTAAGAGTGAAGGTTGTGTTTAGAGTTTAGCAACTGGCTTGATGGCGGTGCAATATGTTGCAGAAAACAATCACATTAAGGAATTGAGAAGGTAAATGATTGGTTTAATTAAATATAATGAAAAATAACTGAAAAAAGGGTGCATGCCTAGTTGTATCAGGATGCCTATGTGGTTTTAGAATGAATTTTATTAATTTTGATACTTGTATTTCTTTTTTAAAAATATTCTTTCTTTTTTAAAAATTTTGCCAGTGTCCAGGCTATTATTAACATTTCTTTTGTCATTCTGTCACACCTCCAGAAAACCAGATAATGGAGCCAGAGAACGGCACTGTGAAGACTGAGTTCTTTCTCCTGGGATTCAGTGACCATCTGGAACTTCAGAGTCTCCTTTTTGCAGTGTTTTTCTTCATCTACTCAGTTACTCTGATGGGGAAACTTGGAATGATTTTATTAATCACAATTAGTTCCCACTTGCACACTCCTATGTACTTTTTCCTCTGCATGCTGTCCTTCATAGATGCATGTTACTCTTCTGTCATTGCCCCCAAATTACTTGTGAACTTGGTTTCTGACAAGAAGACCATTTCTTACAATGGCTGTGTCACACAGTTATATTTTTTCTGCTCTTTGGTTGACACGGAATCTTTCCTCTTGGCTGTCATGGCTTATGACCGGTACATAGCAATCTGCAACCCACTGCTGTATATGGTGATTATGTCCAAGAAGGTTTGTTGCCAGCTTGCAATTGGAGCATTTTTGGGGGGCACTATAAGCTCAGTTATTCACACCGTGAACACTTTCCATCTGTCATTCTGCTCCAAAGACATTAACCATTTCTTTTGTGATATCTCCCCACTCTTCTCTCTGTCCTGCACTGACACTTACATACATGACATCATTCTGGTTGTCTCTGCCAGTTTTGTGGAAGCGGTCTGTCTTTTAACAGTTCTCCTTCTCCTCTCTTATGTCTTCATTATGGCAGCTATTCTTAGAACAGGTTCTGTGGAGGGAAGAAGAAAAGGGTTCTCCACTTGTGCTTCCCACCTGACTGTGGTCGTTATTTATCATGGTACCTTGATATTCATTTATTTGCGTCCCAGCACCAGCCATTCACTGGATATTGACAAAGTGACCTCTGTGTTCTATACTTTGATCATACCTATGTTAAACCCTCTAATTTACAGTCTAAGGAATAAAGACGTCAAAAATGCTTTTAGAAAACTGATTGGAAGAAAATTGCTTTCTTAAGATGAAACTGGGCCTGACAACTTTTCAAAAAATACCCGGTCTCTGACTTTTGGTTCTAACTGTTGGAAAATTCAGTTTAATATAAATGCTTTCCAAATCTGTGGGTAATGATCCTCAACCACAGAATAGGGCCACAGCCTAGCTTTAGAGATTGGCCCTGTCATATCGCTTATATTATGTCTATTGTTTTAAAGCTGAAATTTCTACTATTTATTTCCAGGGAAGATTTACCTTACACTTAATTTCCTGTATCTCATGGTCTTACTCCTTTTCTCTTTTCACCACAAACTTTTGAGGCAACCATGTGGGAAGGGCTCCTTTCCAAAACTCAAACTGGCCTAGGTACTGGGAGAAGTGCACACTGAAGTGGAGCCACAGAAGTTCGTGACGTTTGCAGTGAGGAGGAGCCTAGTCCCTCCTCTTCCTGAATGGAACCTGGAAATTCAATCTGTGAAGTGGGAAGCCTACGCTAGCGGGAATTCTGGCCTTGCTGTAGAGTTCCTGTTCTCTCTTCTATTCTTTTTGCAAAATAAATTCCATTATTAGCACCCTTCAAATCATCTGCGAGCCTAATTTGTGGCCATATCATAAGGACCCAGCTCTTAGCTGAACTAAGGAAAAAGTCCCTTAACATTTATGGTGCACAACGTGGAGGCTTGATAAGCAGTGAGTGAAGTGGGGACTCAAAAACTCTCACTGTCATCTCTAAGCCTTTTTATGCTTGGACTTCTGAGGGAAGGGGAAACTGTGCCCCCACCTCCATCGCTCCTGAAAAAACCAGGTGTCAGGCAAGACAATTTTGAAACTGAAGTTTGATTATTACAAGATATTTTCAAGTGTAATGACTTTTTTAAAGACAATTTTCAAACATTGACTAAATTAAAACGTTTCGTGAAAGTTTTTCTCTGGAATATGTTGAGTCTGAAATCTCTTGATTCGCAAGCAAACAGTTAAAATTTCTGAGGTAAGCTGTAGGAAGTAGAAAAGTTCTTCTTCGAAGTTTCCTTTCTTGTTAAAGAAAAATAATAGTAATAATAATACTAAATGTTAAACATAATAGTCTCTTTTAAAGACTAACTTTCTTCACAGCCTTCTTGCTTTTTACTAGTGACTCTTTCTTAAGGCCTATCCTATGTAGCTGTTAGACATGCTCACAGGCACATAGTAAATTCTATGCCCTTGTACTTTAACCAAGATATCTGTGCTAGATGTGCTCACAGGCATGTCCCAGCTCATAGCCTATGCTCCTTCCTAATTTAGACTTCCTTTGTGTTCTCCATTGCTTTTATCTGTTTAGAAAAGTTTTAAGTTATTAGCCAATCGTTTTAGTTTTAGATTGTGAAACCTAGCTCCAGGCAACAGAGAGAGAGCAGACACAGCAGTAAAGATGACCCCAAATGCGTAAAAGATGAATATGTCTGCTTTTCCTTTGTTCGCTGTACTCTCTTAGCAAGATAGTTAACAAAAGCACTCTTTCCGCAGCAAGTAAAGATTGTTTTGCTGAGAGATCCTTTGTCTCAGTGCTGATTTTTCTTTGTGACATCAAGCATCTGTTTCCAAAAAAAGCTATTCTCTGAGAGCCAGGGATGAGAAGCAGAGCCTTCAGATGGTGGGTGAGAAGTTAGTTGGCCACTGGAGTATGATCTAGAGGGAAGTTATGGCTGGAAAGCGTGAAAACAGTGTTAAACTCAAAGGTGAGGATGAATGCTGGGATAGAGGATAAAGTAGAGAGTAAAGCCTCTGACAGTGAAAGCGTTTGCTGTGTTGTAAATCTAGAGCACAGTTTCATTCACTGCATTGGGATGTATTTTTAAAACAAGAAGGAATTTGTTTATACAGAACACTTTTGAGGTAGGACTCCTGCTAATGGGTGCTTTAGTGAAGACTGGAATAGCATTCTGAAATTAATAAGAACCACGTGCTTTACTGAATAGGAAATTTTTTAAGTGCATGGGTTCATCACAAGGAATAGATATTGATTTTTTTTGTATCTACATGTGGCATGTCAGCCACAGCTCTTGGGATAAAGTTTCACAGTATAACATAAAATGAGGTACTCTGGGATTAATTAACTGACTTCTTGGGATTGTGGGGCCTGGGACTTAAATCAATAGTATAGTTTCAGTCTTCTGACCTAAACATGGGAATGGTGCAGCCAGCACTGGTTGCCATGAAGAAACCTCTACTCAGCTCTAACCAGGATCAGAAACAAAGAAGTCCTAAGGTGGCTGGGAAGCCAGCTAGAAACATGACGTGAGACTAGGATTTGTAACTGTAGTGTGACCAACTAGGTGAGCAGGCTGTAAAGAGGATAGAAGAAGATGGAGTCTGCAGAGTATTTCATAACATGATGCTGTGAACAATACCATCCTTTCTTTCAGCATTAGGAGGTTAGTACCTGAGAGTGGGCTCAGTATTTTCTTAAAGAGTCCCTTGACCAATATTAAGGAGATAGATAGATAGATAGATAGACAGATAGATAGATGGATAGATAGATAGATGGATATCCTTGATATATGTATCTAATCCCTGAGATAAGAGAGTTTATGTGTGTGTGTGTGTGTGTGTGTGTATACACACATATATACACATAAATACATACATATGTGTATATATATATATACATATACACACATATATACACGTAAGACATAATGTACTCCTATATTTATAGATAATGATATGTAGCTTTAATTTTATTATACACATATTAAACCCATGTTAAAGAAATGAGGAAACTGAGATTAACAATGTAAAATGAGTATTTTAGGTGTTTTTGTTTTGTTTTGAGACAGATTCTCACTCTTTTGCCTGTGCTGGAGTGCAGTGGCGTAATCTCAGCTCAGTGCAAACTTGACCCCCCAGGCTCAAGCCTGCAGCCTCAACCTCCCAGTTTCAAGCAATCCTCCCACCTCAGCCTCCTGAGTAGTTGGGACCACAGGCGCATGCCACCACACTCAGATAATTTTTTGTTTAATTTTTTTGTAGAGATGCGGTTTTGCCACGTTGCCCAGGCTGGTCTTGAACTCACAAGCTCAAGTGAGTTTCCTGCCTTGGCCTCCCAAAGCGCTGGGTACAGGCCTGAGCCACTGTACCTGCCTCAACTATTTTTCTTGTCTAGCACTATTGACTAACTGTGCTAACTTTCAGTATTTTGAGTTCATTCTATTAGTACTGAGGAGGAATTTTCAATGGCCTGAATTCCTATCCTTCTTTAGAAGTTGTGTCTGGAGGGTATGCTAACATATAAATTAATTTATTATCATAAAAACTTATGACAGTCACTTCTTAAGAATAAGTTATTTTAATTATTCTAAAATAATGCTAGGAATGACCATAGCTAATAGATACTAAATCACTTGTTTCAGTTATTAGTTGGCTAATTCTTTTGTGTTTGTGAAGACAGGCTCTGACTATTTTGCTCAGGTTGGTCTCAAACTCCTGAGCTCAAGTGATCTGCCTGCCTCAGCCTCCCAAAGTGCTGGAAGTGACCATGGGCCACCATGTTTGGCCAAAGTGTGTTTAGTTTTTTATAGATATGAATATAATTAATATGTTTTTTAAAAAACTACATTGAGTCAGGGAATGGTTTGGGAAGTGATGGAGAGATCCTGATAAGTAATATATTCTATGAACAATCAATATGCTATTTAAAATTATAGAGGAAAATAAATATTTAAGAGAGAGTAAACTATTCTTGTTTTAAAATTCTGTTCAGTTAGTAATGCAAAACAAATATTCTGCTAAAACTTTTATGTTTTTAATTAATTGTTTCACTCCTATGATGCTTTGCAGCATATAACAATCAGTGTAATTTATAACTAAAATGATATATACAATTATAGAAGGCCTAAACAAAACCCTATATAATTCATTACTTTGTCCTCCTAGTACCAGAGAAGTGTGCCTTTATGTGTTTCCTTTATGACAACACTTTAAAGTAAAATGAATAATCCTTAGAATAAAAAATCGGGTTATGTTTTTCATAACTTGGTTAATTCCTAAATGATTTCAGTAAGACAAATATATGCAATTAATTAATTTATTGAAACATATTGTAGGATTAGCTAATAGCCAATCACTTAGAGATGACCACTACTAATTTTTTGTTTAGAATAGGATTCCAGTTTATTTCATGAATACACAAAGCAACAATATAAATTATTATAAATGATACACTAATGTAAACATGACTTGTCATTTGTGGGTTTTTTTTCCATTGAACATACTTTACAACTTCACCCAAATCAATTGGACCTTCCATTTTTGAAATTTTAGTTCACATGAACTATTAACAGAATATAATGGTACAAACTCATCAAGGGAGATTGAGGCTCCTTTTCCAGTGGCCTTTGGAGAAAGTACAGATCTTTCGTTCCATTTGTGCAGTCCTGTAGGTTGCCAATAGCGCCATGCCTGTTCTCCAGAGTAAGGGTAGGGAGGAAGTCTGGAGGCTGGTGCTGTGACTATGAGACAATAATTTAATATTAAAATAAAAATCTGGGATTGGTGATCCTGGGGATGTCTGCTGATATAATGAGGAATAAGGATTTGAGAAAAATTGTTCAGTATATCAAATGATCTCTGTTTGTGATAATTTAATTCAAACCTAGGCCAAAAGACAAGAGGTACAGATGGATTTTATCCAAGATGAACATACTAGAATGAAATGGAAGGGACTTCTTTTTCTGGTAAATGTACAAAGCCTCCTTTTTGCATAAACTTTCAAGGAACATTGATTTGTGTATTGAATAACTGTTTATAAATGGGATCCTGCAGCCAAGCATTAAAAATAACAACGTAGAAATAATGGTGAACAAGGCAGGAAAGCACATTACCTTTATGGAATTTTATGTCTAGGGCAAGACACTTCTTATTTGGGCAAGAGATTTCTTATTTGCTTTTATATATTTATTTACTGCTTATTTACTTATAAGTATATGCAGGACACTTATAGGATGATACTCGTACATAGGAAGAGCACGAACCAGGCTAAGTTTGATCCTCTAAAACTCCCTTTGGATGAGCAACATTTTTGTATGTAATAGGAAATTTAGGGAGGGTCTGTTGAATTGGTGTGGGAAAATGGTTCACTAGAACCCACAACAGTTCACTGGGGCATGTTCGTGAAGAGAGTGGGGAAATATAAAAGGACCTTCTCTGCTAAACAACAGAAAAAGTCTATTTCTACTCCTCCTTGGTTTAGAGGGAAGACTAAGAGCAATAATTCTTCCCCCCGTACACACAATTTAAGCACAATGGTAAGTAATTAAAAATACCTTGAAGGCCGTATGGGTGACACTACAGAAACCTATGTCGAAGTATATGAACTTTAAGTCTCAGAAGTTTATTATTTGTGAATGCAAATCACAGTGTCATACAGAACATAATTTAGTGCTTATCGCTTTCTTCAGAGCACCTTTCACATCCCTATTCCTTAAGCTGTAGATCAGTGGATTTAACATAGGTATGACAACCGTGTAGAAAACAGAAGCCATTTTGTCTGTTTCCATTGAGTAACTTGAACTGGGTCGGAAATACATGAACAGGAGTGTGCCGTGAAATACAGCCACAGCCATCAAGTGGGAGGTGCAGGTAGAGAAGGCTTTAAGTCTGCCCTCAGCTGAGCTCATTTTAAGGATCGTCATTATAATGTAGCTGTAGGAGAGGAAGACAGTGACAATGCTGCACCCCACAACACAGCCAATGAATGTGAACATCACTATCTCATTGATGAATGTGTCTGAGTTAGAGAGGACTAGCAAGGGTGGGATGTCACAGAAAAAGTGATTGATGACATTAGAATTGCAGAATGACAACCTGAATGTGGAGCAGGTGTGGACTGCAGAATCCACCAAGCCTACAAAGTAGGCCACAGCCACTAGCTGGGTGCAGAGCCTCCTGGACATAGTGATTGTATAAAGAAGTGGATTGCAAATGGCAACATAACGATCATAGGCCATGACAGCCAACATGAGACATTCCACATCTGCAAAGGTTCCAAATAAATACATCTGAACGACACATAAATTATACGGAATCCGCTTTTGGTCAGTTAAGAAATCAGCCAGCATCTTGGGAGAGACAGTGGAAGAGTAGCAGACATCACAGAAAGACAAGTTGCTCAGGAAATAATACATGGGTGTGTGAAGTGTGAGATCCATCTTGATCAGTAGGATCATCCCTAGATTGGCAATCACAGTTATGCCATAAATCAGGAAGAAAAGCATAAAGAGCCCCTGCTGCACATCCTGTGTACCTGAAAGTCCTAAGAATACAAAGTCAGTAAACACAGTGCAGTTCTCAAGGGTCTTCATTCCGATCTGGAAATCCCTGACTGTGAAAGAAGAAAATGGAAGTGAAGGGTTAACATTATCTTACTATGCTAATAGTCACACTGATGGTCTTTTTTTAGTAACAAAAAAATAAAGATATAAACAATCTACTGGAAAATATCCAATTTAATGTAAATCAACAAAATCAGCACCATAATATCTCTTATATTTCTGTGGCACTGTACAGAGACTGTATTACACTTTCATCCAAATTAAATCATGCTAATTCATGAAAACCTATGCATTATTTATTTATGGTGATTTTGCTACTTCTCTTTTATAGACTAGGAAATTGATGTCCTCAGAGTTCAAGGTAATCGTTCTTATAATTAGTTCGACCAGATAACCCACATCTTATGACAAGATTATTGTTGCTGCTTTTGCTTTCATTTTTGTAGAAATGTTGTGATATCTCATCATAGACAAGCACAGTCAAGTGATAAGTGCGGGTAATGAATATATCCCATTATGTTTATCTCGTCATCTAAAAATGTAGAGCAGGCAGAACAATGACAGGTTCTTACGTATAACATTCCTCCACTTCCCAATGACCCCCCAGGTCCTATCCAGCATTAATAACCAAGCCTGCATCTCATTGTCACTGGGATGGAGACAGTCTGTGGTTCACAAATCACTGGAGTAAGAAGGGTGAGGGTGGCATGAGAATCGAGTAGAAGGGTCTCCATAATCAGTAAGCTTAATGGACAGACAGGAATCTGCCAGGGCTAACTACGCCTTTGTCTGAAGCTGCTGTGGCTCACAGGAGATTATAAAGAACATTTTGAAGCTAATTGTAAGGATGCTGCAGCACTGGTGATAGAGATGTAAGAAAGAGACTATGGTTTACTATATGGGTCCCTCCTTCCTGATCAAGTGGAATCCACATTATCCATTCACCAATAGACCAGACTTGCAAGAACATTCATATGTCCACAGTCCCATAACCTCAGACAAATTCATTCCTGAGATGTGTTCCCCATCCCAATTATGAAGAAGTTGTAACAAATTTTTGTTTGTTTGTTTTCATTGATTCTTCTCTTCTACACCTCTGAAACCTGCTAGACTTCAGTTAAAAATAATTAGCTGTCTTTGGGGGGCCAATTTTGTTATTGATCCCATTGTTATATTTCCTTTGAACAAATTATATCTTGTGTAATATCATACATGTCTCCCTCTGCTCTGTGAGAGAGAAGAAAAGTAGACCAGAAGGTAGATGAAAAACAGAAAAAGGATGACGTCTGAATAATGGTCTAGTGATCAACATGCAGGTCTCTAAAATTTCAGTATAAACTTATTAAAAAGCTGCCTTTGTGGACATATCTTTAAAAATAATAATTTTCTTTTTAATATAACATTCAAATATATATGTAAGCACAGATATTAAAAATACTAATAATGTCTGAACATATTTATTGCCCATGCTAACATTTTATTCCATTCCTTGCCATCTATGTGTTCATATTTAAAAATAATAAAGTGATTAATATAATGTTCACATTGTTTTACGCTCTCCTTTAGTTTTATATGATACTTTTAGTGGAAAATAATAAAAGAACTAAATAAATATACAAAGTAAACCAGAAAATAACAAAAAGTTAGTACCTGACCCAGAACTGCTGATTTCTTTACTGGAGCCAGCCCTCTCTTCACAAGGGTTCAGTATTGTTTCCTGACCTACCTAGATTATATAAGTAGCTCTGCTATGACTCTTGGGTGTTGGATACTTCGTCTCTCAGGAATAAGTGGCAAGTTTAAGAATTAGGTTTAACGGTTAATCTTTTATACAGGTAGGGTAATGATTGAGAAAAAAATACAGACCATTTAAGATACTACTTTTTTTTCTGTCTAGCTTATGTTCAATATATTTAATTAGCAAAAGTAAAATGACTCTAGTCAACCAGTATTGATTATTTCCAGTCCAGCAATCTCTACACAGGCATTTTCTTTTAATTGCGCATTATACAAAACAAATACCCCCCCTACAAACACACTTAAACATGCATACAACACTTCTCCTTCAACACACTGAAAAATAAAGATTTTAGTAAAGAGAACAAAAGTAGGAATAATCACATTGTGTGAAGGTAACCAGGCTCTGTTGTCTATGCTATTAGATTTCTGCTTTTTAAACAAAATGATGTCAGAATAACACATTTTATATAGAAATAAATAATGTGATTAGAGAAAATGCATTCACTTCTATTTACATATATTAATTTATTTGACCTATACTCTGCTAATGGCCATTTCATTTATATACAGTTCTTCATATCACAAGAAGTCTCTTACACATACATAATTTATCATATCCAAGTGTTTCATTAAAATAAGTTTTTAAAAATGGCCTGTAAGGATAAAAGATGTGATCTTAAATAAAGATAATTTTTTCCTTCTTACCAAGTCAGGTGTTTTATAATTATCTAATTATCACCACGTATTCTCATATATTTCACATACCGTCACATATGTCCTGAGTTGTGTCAAACAACCTCATTATGTGATGCAGAATCTGAAGCCCACAGCTGATAAGTTAACTTATAGTCTTATAGACATTGTTTGATTGAATCCATAGAAATTGCTCACAATAGATTTTTTAATGAAGTGCAATAAAACAGATTTCTCTTAAAAGATAATTTTTAAAATACTCCTATAGAATGTTGTAATGTGTTTATGCTAAAGCGATGTTTGAAAATTCACAAAATTAGTGGCCCATAGACTCTCGGAGATCACTCATGTCACTTCTCAACCAGGACAGGAGGATTTCAGCAGTGACTGAAGATAGAAGGAAGAAATAAGGTTTGCTAATGGGGAGTAATTTGTCTTGCTTATATCAACTAGGCACTTGATCATTATTAATATTGGTGCTAATAGAAAGTGATGTGGTAGGTCATTGCATTATAAAATTGCAGGAAACAAGTAGAAAATAAAGAAATCAGTGCCCCTTAAAGTTGTGCAGCCTGACAACCTTTGGGGTATATCCTTTATATTGGCCATCTTCTGAGTGATACTTTATAATGCATTAATCATTACAGTGTACTTACAACCACAGGTTACTATGTGATCTTTAAATGTCTAATGTTTATTGCTATTTAAAGAATATGTACCATTATCATGTATATTAGCTGTAGCTCTTGAATTGTAATGTGGTTAATTACTATAAATTCTGTATATGCAAAATTTGTGCAAACAGAAATGCAGTAAAATGAGCAAGACACGTACAAGTTTATACGCTTCAGTACTTCAGGTTCATTTCTGAAATCCCACCTGGAGTAAAAAGTAGGTTTGTTGTTGCTATTTTTATTTGTTTGTCTTGTTTCTTGTCATAATATTTCCCACTTGGTTTACATAAACCTGGAATACTTAGGTGAAATTCATTGAAATTGATATAATTATTGTTTTTGGAAAAGTGGTTCTGACAATTTTTAATTTTTTAATATTTCATTGTCGTTTTTGTGAGATAATCCTAATAGTAAAATGCCAAATATACTTTTGTAGGAGAGAATGCTGAAGCAAAGCTCACACCACCTAAGTAACTGCTAATAGTCTTCCATAAAGTAAACTCAGTAAGGTAATATTTTGTTACCCAAGAACCTTACCATCACTATCTGCTTCTCTGGCACATATTTGGAGGATGTGGAAGTGTCTTTGGTCACCTTATTCTGATTTTTTTCCAAGCTTATGTTTATTCAGAGATACCAAATTTCCTTAAGCTACACTCTGTTTAGGCAGGATTAAAATTTTAACTTCAAAAACACAGCTGCCCCTCCAGACAACATGGTCTAATTTTCACTACCCACTTGTATCAGAGCATGAATACCAATATATTGTGAACAATTGGATAATTTAAATTATTTCCCAAAGGGACTTGTGCCTTAATAGAGAATGACTTTTTAGAAAATCATGAGTGAAAAAAGGTAAAATTTAAGATTTCACCAACAATTGAGAAAATAAAAACAAAAATGTCTGTATCTAAATGATGTCATGGGTGTCGCTAAACATAGTACTACATAGTCAACTGTCTACTTATAAGTTCTTCCTTCAGGAGATCATTTCCTGGCTGTGAATCATGGGCCATTATCAAGTAAGTTCAGTGCGTGATACTGGTACCAAGGAAAACCAGGATCATTAATCTCCTTGTTGCTGAGACCAAGCACTGGCTGTGGGCTGCCAGCATTTCTGTTTTATAAGCAACGCAGCACATTTTTAGTAACATAAAGAATAATTATTTAATAAAATATTCTATGAGGGTTGTGTGCTTTATTAGTTTTACAAGCATAACTTGAAAATGTATTGTGTCCTAGAAAGCGCTAGAGACTTAAAAAGTGACTATGAAATACTTCAGTTGCCTACAATCTGGTAGTAAATACCCTTTGGTTTTTGAAAAATGTTAAAAGTATGTATACATTTTAAAGTATGCATTTATATACACATATCTACATATGTGTGTGTATATATACACATTTTAAAGTAAATATGAAGTAAACTTTCAGAAATGAGAAGATTATTGTATCTAAAAGCCAGAACATTAATTAGAACACAACCAGCAATTCAGAGACTGTCCCTGGACCCTAACATAAATCGGCATCCAATATGATAGGTTGGTTTTGCATTTTCAAAAACAATTTAGAAATGAAATAATTGAATTTGTATTCTTCTATGCCTGGATTATTTCACTCATTTTATGTGTGATTCCTCCATACTGTTGCATGTAGTGGTAGTTTCTCCATTTTCATTGTTGTGTAACCTCCTAATAAACAAACTGTATGTTATTCAACAAATTCCAGGTAATGTTGCTGTGATTATTTTTGTACAGTCTTTAGATAGACATATTTACTCAATTCTATTGGGTATCAAACAAGGAACAAAACATTGGAGTCATAAGTTATGCATGTTTCCAGCTATAGTAGATACTGCCAACTAGTTTTCCAAAGGTTGCCAATCTGACTTAAACTAGCCATGTGGACAAGCTATGGTTGTTCCAC